AGGTGGGGTCTTAACGGGCGAAGGTGTAAGCGGCATTGCAATATAGGGTTAGAAACTGATAAATGCCGCCGAAAGCCGGCACCAGTCGAGCCACTTCGTAATTAACCAACCGCAACGCCGGCCGACCAATGCTGTGTGTACCGTATATTGTGTACAACTCTGAATAATGGTTCCTCTAAATACTAATAAATGCGACCATCCGGCGTTATCAATACAGAGAGGATCGTCTGTAATGTCGACCACTAGAATATCAACTACCGGTACCACTAGGTGAGTCTGAATCGTCATGAATTTTGATGTTGAGTCTATGTGTTTAGTTGGAAAAAATATGGGACTTCTCGTATACACTCAAGAAATCGAACAAGAATGACGAACTACCCGATCCGATCTGAGCTCTACGCGTTAGCAACCGGGGAAGAATGGGGCTGTTACTACTTTTGGTTGGAGGCATCGAATAGGCTTCAACAGCTTTTTATCGACATTTTAATATTTCTAGAGACAACGTTTGCGAGATGCTTAGATTTTTTTTGTCTCTAAAACGCAGAGGTACGTCGACTCTGCTCGTGGTGACACCGAGTTTCGGAGGGCTGCGTTGCAATTAGACCTCAGTACTAAAGCTCCTTCAGGAAATGTATGAAGATGGTGCAGATAACGAGGTTCTTGCCTCCGGACGTGAAAAGAGAGGCGACGCTTACGAACATGAATATGGAGCTGTGGTAGATGGGTCACAACTTTCTGGTCGAGAGGAGGCAACGCAAGATCACGTTCCGCAAGCTGAAACGAAGATGATCAAGCGGACGCGCCACTACAAGGTAGAAGCGATAGCCGATCGCCACTTTTTGCGCACGCCCAAGACATGGTACGACCATTAGTAGATGGATTGCCACTTTCAGACCACGAAGATGGTGCACTATTTCCAGAGGCATGGTAGACGACGTGACGAGCAACACACCGCCACTCGCTTTCGAATTTGCCGAAGAAGATGCTCTCGATGACCTCCACTTAGAACATGGCGAGTATGCATGCACTTTATTAGACATGCGCTACAGCTTTGAAGGATGGCTTATGCCCGTTGCTCATTAGCAGCGGACAGGTGTACCACTCAGCCAGCTGCGACTTGGAGAATCAACACATACCGACGAAATGGTGCTAGATCAATTTTTAGCAGTGAGCACGAGATCTGCCCTGACACAGTTACGCTACTAGACGGATCTCAATATGCTGGAGCAGCAGATGACGACAATAATGCTGAGTGGGCCCGAGCGAGAGTCCATGCCGATCAGATTCGGCGAGGGTACAGGATTGCAAATGATGCAGCACGACGCGATGAGCGGTCTGCGCGCAGAGCAAATGTGCAGCAGATGTGCTGCTGCAGCCAAAATAAATGCCTTATGTCCGATCCGGACGTCGATGTGGCAACGTCTTGCGCTCAGGTTTATCAATCGAATACTTGTTGATGCAGCACAATGTCAAAGCTTCTCCGGCCTCATCGGCGACGGCAGACTGAAAAAAGACCAGAAGCTGAGTCTACATCAGCGCAAGATTCATCAAGCTGGGATCTCAGTGCTTCCAGCTCGTCGGTAGTACATAACAGCGTTACCAGTACCTCCAGTTTCTCGGTAGCAGATAAAACAAAACCCGGTACATATGTTGCACACTCAACTTGGCCAGCAAGCGTTGCTTCGACATAAGTGTAGTGTCCGGAACAGCGTCAATCTCATTGCAGATCACACAGACGTCAATGATGTTGCTGTCAGCAGGTACTTCTACGAAATGCAGCGTGGTGACGTAAGTTTAGCTAAGACGCTGCCTGGTCGACCCGAGCACGCAGTACACATTCAAGGATATTTTCCTCGACTGAACGCCCTGCGTGGCAATGGGCTATCCTATATCGTCGCCAATGGTACTACCGGTGGTATAAAGGCGTGCGGGAAAAGTTTATTTTAAATGAGCAACAAGGCTATTTTTTATTTAGGGGGATCAATTATTTTCAAGAGGCTTCTTTGTATTATCGACATATGCGTTCTATGGAATAAACTTATTTGCCCTCTATTGTTTTGTATTGCCAACTAGGGGCTGACAATATTTGCAGTAATAGGGTCGTGACATGTGGTTTCGTATTGCTGACCTTAATAAGCTGACATTATTTTCAGAGAAAGAGCAGGTATTGCTCTATGTAATGTATTGACGACATTAATTAGACGGTATTTGCGGTAATAGAGGAGATAGCGCTATATGTAGTGCACTGTCTACTATGATCTGACGTTATTTTCAGTATTAGAGTAGGTGGCGCTCTATTTCAGACGTTAAAACTTAGAAAATTAAAAATCTAGAAAAACTAAGCCTGTCGTACGGAGTTTTCTAAGCCTTCCCGCATAGCGTAATCTTTAATTTGTCTTCGATGCGCCTGTTCAAGCATCTTCGGGTCTCTTTAAACCGTGCAGCACTCACAATTGACCGCGTTAGGGCCGAGCTAGAAGCCGCAGAGCGCATGCTCGCCGTCACGACATTCAGATGGGCATCGTTCGTCATCCCCCGATCTTTTTTTTCCTCGGAATCTGAGTCCAAATTCGATTAAGAGGCGGAAGGGACATCGACTCCGGCCAAGGTCCAAAAAATGTCTGACAACAGTTCAAGTTCGATAAAGGAATTCGCCAGATCGGCTTCCGATGCTCCCTAATGTCAAGCAACTGAAGAATCGGTCACAGAGACTAAGCATACCTGAAGGTTTTTCGATCATGAAATACGCCGACATGATGGAGTGGGCCTCTCCAAGAATGTGCACAGCGCTTGAGCAATTAGACTAGCTAGTAGGATATGGGCACTGATGAATTGTGGTTTTGTCAGTAGTCTTTGAGCTTTCAGCACGAGCTACTTGTACTGTATTGCTTTACAGATCCTCTATAGAATAAAGAGGTTTCTGTCGGGATTATCTTCACGTCCAGGCGATTGTTCAGGACTGCTCCTAGGCAAGTACTAGGCCAACGTTTGATCAAAAGATTCCCGGAAGGCCTTGGTGTGACGGATGGTACTTATAAAATCCATTTTGGCGGATGGACACTAGTTTTGTTCGGTACCGTTGGGGTGCGTTACTCGGCACTGAACAAGAATCAACGGAAGCTCTACCCAATGGCGTTCATGTTCACTCGGACGGAAACAGCCTTCGCGTATACACGGCTCTTTACTGTCCGCAGGGACAAATGTGATTCGGTTTTTAGTGGAGCTTTGGAGCTTAACTACGGATCCATGGATTACTCTGCCGCTATCGCAAGTGCCTTTCGCCAAGCCTGGCCTAACATTAAACGTTTGAGCTACTGGCCACATTGGTATCGCAATTTCAGAGGCAAAAATGGTTTAGTGACACTGCTGGAGTGCTGCCAAATCAACCAAAATCCGATTGAATCCCATGTTGAACAATCAAGACCACGGTAGTAAGCAATCTTCGAGCAGCGACGGGGCACGTTCTGGCTGGAACGTTGCCTAAACGCTTGGTCGGATGTGCTATGGACATCAACGCTGAGCCTATCAGGCATTAAACATCTGGACCAGTGAGCGCACAAGGTTTGCAGATGGCTGTATCTCTATGCGAAGAAGACAATCACTACCCTACTCACAGACGAAAGTCCAGACGGGCGATTAACAGCATCCAAGAATGCGTTTAAACGCCGACCACTACATCGTACGCGATGACAACCTCCACGGCCTTAAGCTTAACGACAATCGAACCATAAACGCACAAAGCCTCGCACAGAGGTAAGCTCAAGCAAAACGAGACGGTGGAGAACATCCAGCTGCGCTATTTGTCGATTCACGTCGTGAAAATGTTTAGAGCGAATTCCTTTCGAGCACGATTGGGACAACCCTCCTCGGGCAACACCAAGAACACAATGATTCGCCGTAAGTTCAAGTGCGACTGTAAGCAGGTTTACCAAACCGGCTGGATCTGCGCTCACGCTTTGACATGTCTATATCTCGTAGCCTCCCTAGACCTACAGGTTATGCTACGAAACCTACCGGCTCGAAAGCCACCTGGACGACCTCGGAAAAAGACAAGATGCCTGGATCGTGACAGAACTCGAAAGTCGCAATATGCTGTGTACTCGCTGATCAAGAGGTCGGTGGATAAGCCCGCTAGTGTTATCTGCTGAAGCATTCTGATGGCCGATCATATAACTAACGACAAAGACGGAGGAACAGAGCTCACCACGTTGAGACAGTCAGGCCACCTTTCATGAAAGACTGTAAACGATACTGGGCCATCGAATTCGAGGAAGGAGAGGAAGCCAGTGCCTTAAATGATCTGGCAAGAGCGATTAACTATTCGTACCAGATGGGACACAATATTGTACCCAACTAGAAGCAGCTGCTTGTATTATGCATATTTAGTCTAGAAATATCAAACAGAAAAACTATATAATCACCCAAAAAAACAGAAAACCCTTGTAAGGGAACATCCTTCATACGTTTGGCCAAAAATAGCATTAAAAAAATCCGCCCCCAAGGCGTGCAGGTGCTTCTTGCGGCGACATTTCTGACACATTCGCCAGTTGAGGGACTATCTGAGCAGCGACGCTGTCCCTGAACGCCAAAGCGATCGAGCTCGACGGTGTAGCCAAGGACGGCTCCATCCTCAACTACGCCATGTCGGAGCACATGGAGAACGCCTGCCAAGGTGATTGCACCACAGCAACCCAACTTTCGCTTTTGACGTGATCCGTGTACCTCGCTAGATCCCGCGAGGCTGGATGAAACGTGAAGAAACGGATCGTGGGGGAGGCTTTCTGAATCCGTTACAGATGCGCCGCGTGTGAAGGGATCGCTGGACGATGAAACGGAACTATCATGCGGTCAACTTGTATATATAGCCGGCGGTACGCTCTTACACAGCATGAATTTTATTGTACGGTACCTTTCCAACGTATTATCGTGTATCGGGCGACTGAAAGAACACGACTAAGCGCACCGTTTTTATGTGGGATTGCAACCTGCACGCAGTGGGGTTAGTGGCCCTCGTCCGAAGCCACAATCGTACCAGCATCCGACAAAACGCAGCTGAGACGGACTAGCCCGTGGTACTGCGCCTCCTGCACGAACTCAAGAGCGTAGTTCAGGTCCTTGACCTCCGCCCAACACGACTTGTCCACGCTCAGTGTGGCCAGCATGGCAGAGAATTTATTGCGGTCCTCTCACTGGTCGACGCTCTCCGGCGACGTGCTCAGAAGATTTGACGCCGGCCTGGGACAGCGGCATGACCAGGTTGTTCGGGATCTGGCCACCTACAGACACGATCACACCCTCCGGGCTCTTGCGGCCCCAGATGTCCGGCTGAGAGCGCGCTCTAGACTTGGCTCGTCGAAGTACACAGACGGTCACTCTCGTCGTGGGCCTTGCTCACGGTCTCCGGGGTATTGCTGACCACAATCGCCGCCTTGTCCACCTCACGCATTTGCGCACAGCACGGACGCAAAACAGTTATGCATAAAACATTCACCTCTTCCTCCTGATCCACACCCTTTCTGTGGATCCTTCTTATCGTTTTCTCTAATGTGATCAGCTCACACCATTCAACCTCCGCATACGAGCCGATGCTGTTCGCGCCGCACCACGATGGCTCCTCCGAAGCCGCTGTTCGTCATGTACTGTACAGGTTGTTGGTCTGAGCCGGGAACTCATCAGCCAACGTATGGATCTGTTTGACACACGGCACAACGCCCGACCACTACGTACCTGCATGCCCGTGGCGTTGGCAGATTGGAGACTGTTCACCTTCAATGTACACCCGAAGCTCTCTATCGGCGTGTCTAACGTGAATCGGGGGTGTACCGACTAGCGCAGTGACGAGATGCGCGGCAGCTTGGACAGGAACCAATTGTCGATCTTGGTCAGCTCGTGCACGCGGTTGATCGTGTAGCCGGCGTCAAGAGCAGAAATGACGTTGAACAGGCGCTCATCCATCGGGGGAGCTAAGCCGCGCGTCCCGCACCTCCGGCGACGCAGCCGTCCAGACCGGCCAGGTTTGGGCTCAGCATTGCACTGTCTTCTAGATGCACACCCCGAAGCTGCAGCCGACAGACATAAACTCGCCCACGGACAGCACGTAGCCGCTCAGTTCGTTGGACATACGTCTTCAGGTCCCAACGAGGCAGCTTGACCACACAGTTGTTCAGACTTTGCGCCACAGTAGGCCGTGTCGCCTTGGTCACGCTGTTCTTGGGCTAATGCCTAGCGAGATCTTGGTGGCTATGTAGTCAAGCCCGTGGCGGTGGAGGCGAGAGCATTGGAACAAGACAAACGAGCGCTCACCGCGATGATGCAGTTACGCTCCGGGATATTAAACTCGCCCATAATGCCAAAGTGACGCACAAACTTTTGCGCTGTCGAGCGGAGCTTGAAGTAGTTGCTGTTCTCCGTGATACAATTATCCTTGGTGTCACGCACTACCTCGTACTCGACCTGTGCAGATTCAGATCGGCCCGAATCTGTTTGATCTGGCCGTCGACGTCGAGCCGTGCAGCGCCTTGTGGCCAGCACACGCTGCTCGTCGTCATTGGCAGCGAAAATCAAATCGAGGAAGCCAAGAACGATAGCAGAACGCACCAGCACAGAAGCCGATCTGCAGCCCTTCGACTGACTCGGAGCGATCGTCTCGCCAATCTCCGCCAGCTTGGCCGCCAACTTCTCGCGATCCTCTGTGTCGACGACCGCGCGCCCGTGACGCGAACGTTGTGACGCTCTATGTCGTCGTTCAGGTACAGCCCAATGCCGACGACCAGAGCCGTCTGCGACATACTCACCAGGATTTCATCCGCCTTCTCCTTATCGATGATCTCCAGCACCGCCTTGGCACGCACAGGCACGAAGTACACCTTGTAGAACGGAAGTTTGGACGTCTGCACCGTGGCGATGTACGGGTTTCACCAGCGCGACATGCACGCCTTCTTCCGAAGAAGGCGTGCATGTCGGGGGGGGGAAACTGTGGGGGAGAGCATGAGGTGGCACCGGTGTACCACTATGGCTAATATACCTGTCACGCTACGTTATCCCAGAAAAGGAGATATTAAATATGAACCAAGAATTTGTTCCCACAGGCAATTGCATGACGGATCTCACGGTAAATCTGCAAAATCGCTGTTGATTAGCGAAAGCTAAAAATAATCACACCAAATCACGCACTCGGAACGCATACATTGGGAGCGTACAGTAGGCCCCAATTTAGTCTTGCCTTTCCTATTAGAATACTTTAATGACTCCCGTTACGGGAGTCCCGTAGGCGAACTCCAGCCAGGTCGATAATGGTTTGCTGCTCTGTTCTGGTGGTCTCATCTTGGAGAACGTCGATCGGACGTACAGAGTCGTGTCCGCGGCTGTGAGATGTTGACTTGTTCCTGGAGTGTTTCGAAGAGGAAGGGTTTTAGGGTTTCCGTGAGACGACCGCAGGCCTCCGGGTGGAGCTGCTTCGAGAACCTCGACAAGAAGAAAGACTGGTGTTCGTGTATACATGTTATGCCCTTGTTCGACTTATCGTTGGCGTCCATGAAGCAGGGCCTCCATCCTCAGGCAGAGGGCTCGAGTCCGGTGCGTATCCGTGATTATGCTGCGTAGTGTAGCAGCGGGTAGTGCGTATGTCAAAGTACGCCTGGTTCGTACCGCGGTTGCCGTACTTCATCTTGTATGTGGTGGCACTGACGGCCGGAGCCAGGATCTGGTTACCCACCGAAGATAGGCCTGGAGTTGTTCTGGCTGAAGCAACCGTTGATGCACCAGCGGATGCTCTCGACGGTCGTGGTGGGTCACCAGAGCCGTTACAGATAAATATACCGACGTACGACAGCTCACTGTTGGGCAAGTCGTGGTCGCAGAACACAAGCGTGAGATCCTCGTTTTGGGGGACAAGTACTGCACGATGTTGCTTGAAGCACTGCTACATACCGAAGTGAAAGTTTACGATCTTAGGAGACACGCCCTTGTTGTACACGGTCACTTCCTTGACGGTCCCTTCGGCCACGAGGTTCATCTTGTTTGGCCACGAGCTCAGTGGTTTGGCACGCAAACTCTATCTCGCACCGAGTGACGGTCGGGGCGAGTGAGTTACTGGCCGCCAATCTTTATCGGCCCCGTTGATGTGTGATGCTGCATCAGTTCTGTTTTGCATCTGTTTGCGTCACGAAGCTTGCTCATCTCCGCCTCCGAGCGTTATTTCTGCTATTTTGAAGCATGTTTTGCAGCTTGTGTGAAAACCGCACCGTCAAATAATTAAATTTGACTGAGTTATGGGCTCTCGACGAGTTGGTCGTATCATTGTGTCCAGGAGTGTACATCCGATTGCTTAAAATCATAATTTTAATTTGCTGTGATTGGCTGGTGATTTTTCTGACAGGTAATTGGCAGTATCTACCCATACAAATTTCAAGTATGGTCCTATAAATCATCATGTTTATCCATAAATATATAAAACCACAGACTTGAACACGACAATACAGCGAATTGAGATACCAGAAGCTTTTTTGCTACTTTACTAACAAATTTCCAGCAATTGGGGCAAATAAGTGGGAATTGAGTCTTGAGTTTGCAGGCTGTTTGGAGTCGAACCTTACTCGCGGCTTTGTACGGACTGTATCTTTTCCTTACGGGCTTTAAGCTCGCGCCAAAATTGCAGTTCAAAACACAAACACCATAAGCGTAAAGTCAGCCTGAGTTTTGACAACCACTCTGGAATTTTGACAGGGTTTCCGAACGCAATGCGGGATGTTGGCGTACAAGTCATCACCGTGGACGTATACCCTGTCGAGAGGGAGCATTACGCTGCCTGCGTGATGAAATCTCTGCTTCGACGATTTACCCCGGTCTAAGATATCGTAGTCGCGCTTCAGTAGAGAGGCAACGGCTGCGTCATTCGCGGCAAAGACGCGGGAAAGTTCCTGGGCTGAAGCCCTCCGTTTTGGTTTTTTTCTCGTCTTCTGATGAGGAAGCCAAGATACCACTAAGCCGGTCAAGTCTGCTGATCTGGTTGGGGTTGGTCGCACTGTGGTGACGGGTTTTTTTCCAGCTCTTTCCGGCTGCATTTCGCGCCAAAATGAATGAATCGATTTCGCACTTCCCGATGATACAATTTGGAGGTTTGCAGCTAAAAAATGTCGCTATTGCGCCTGGCGCAAGATCGCACACACTTTTTATTTTACTTTTCGGCTTCATTCAAAATCGCACTTGTTTGCCACATTATGTGGTGCTGTGCTGTACATGTATTGTGAACATAGTGCGTCTTTTTCTTCCTCCGTGCGGAAAATAAATCACCTTGCCGATCATTTTACAGTCTACGCAAATTAAAATCACCTCTAACTGTGCTACATGTAATCTCGTGCACATACACATAAACATTGTAGCACAGCAGCGGAGGCCATAGTGAACGATGCGTTGAAGAAACAAATGGGGGAAGAGGGCTTCGATTGTTCTAGAAGGATGACAATGTACGCTCGCGAGAGTGATGGTATAGCGCACATACAAAAGATACACGGGAGACGTTGATATTGGCTCGTGACTAAATGAAAGCAACACCCCTAATATTGTTCTCGAAGGCGGATCTGGCAGTAGCTTCGTATTGTGGTGTCCACGCTTTCTTCGACAAGCTGACTCCGCACGGGCACCCAAACAATCCCAGGATTAAAAACAAATCATTTGACTAGCCGATGTTATGGATGACCTACCGAATGTATTTAGTAATGACATTCAGAAAAGTGTTCGCACACAGACCAGATATTGCATGTACTGTCTTTACAAAGAGTTAATCCAAAAAAAATCTATTGTTGTAAATTAATATCTGCAACGTCTCGGAAGCCGAGCGTCGCCGCTACGCGGCGGTAGTTTACTTTTAGTTTTATAAATATTTGCTTTGCGCTTCGGCAGGATAATTATTAAAAAACCTGCTGAACCCCTGTGTGCCTAAATCGTGTTTTTGATTTATTAATCTGGGTTATCATTTCATATTCCTGATTGAAATAATTGTACTAATCAATATTCGTGATAATATATTTTAATTATTGTTAGCTATCACTGTATCTGCATCTTCCACCCAAAACCACCTGCACTTCAAAAAACATTTATACAAACGCTACACAATATGTTTACTTTAACGTCGTGCTCGATATCACGGACCATTTTTGAGCTCACATGATAGTAATGGTCTGCCCAGGTTGCACTTCTTACCCGCTTGTACTGCCTATTTGAGCCAAGTAACTAAATACTGTTCACTTCTCACACAAAACTCAATGACAGCTAGAAAATATTAAAATTGAAATCTATTTTATGCATGCAGCGTTCATTTTGTGCTGATTCAGAATTAGTCATTAGACACTCGATTCTGTGCCAGTTATGATTAAAGCATTTGGATATTGTGTCGCAATGCGCCGTGTTGTTGTCGGGGTTGTTGACGGCAGTGTTTTTATTCAATGGTTTAACGAAGATTTCAGGATGGTTAAACGTCATTGAGGCACCAAGAGTTATCAACGGGGTCTACTTAACCAGTTATAATTTACACCTCTCGTTTTTGTTGTTGTCTTGCCGCTTCATTTAAAATCGTCATCTACGCCCTTGACGACGACACGTCCGCCCGCTATGTAGGATCGGATTTTGCTGTCTAACAACTCTGAAAAAAACAATGGCTTACAGCAGTAGAACAAATGTGTTTTTTTTGCTTAATTTAAAACTTTCTATCGTTATGGCTCAAGTGAGAACGTCTATTAGCGCAGCGATGTTTCTACGGCCTGCTTCTGCTGTACATGTACTACTATTTGGCAGCTCAGTCAGTTGCATCACCTTCAGACATATTCTTAATATTTCTACAGAAAAAACAGTTCTTTTAGTCATTGTTTCTAGCACAAACTATTAAGAACATAGTATAACGTGTATTAATAGTATGACCTCGAAACACGCATTGCTTCGTGTACGCTATACATCTTGCAGCATTGGAAGCGTCGTTAGCGCTATTCCATTTGAGAATAAGTAGCACTCAAATCTTAAAAGCAACATGCAATACTTAAAGTATTAAAATTTATAAATATTATAATATTCGTAGTATTAAACTGACTCGAATTATGGATAGTATTGTGCAAATCTTCTCTGTGAACCACGTAAATTTACTATGTAAGCTACATAATTCAGTTTAACCAATTAGAGCCGCCTTCGCTCCGCTCGACAGCCAATGATAAAGCTCAACAACCTGAGCGTTTTGTGTGACGGACGGACCGACACCGTGCTAGTCTTGATAGTTTAGGATACACACTAGCGCTGTGGGCGCCCGCTCCGCGGACGCTAGAGCCGAGTTGGCTGGTGTAGTGTGGGTAGACCACCTTCGCTGCGCTGCCGTGGGCTTAGTGATTCTACGTAGAGCGAAGATACATATAATATAAATGTATACTATCTACTAATGTTAGATTTCAAAAAAAACACCGCACATAAAATTCTTAGTGTTCACATGTAGTGGTAGGCATGTCCAGGGTTTAACGTGATCTGCAAGATGAGCACCAACTTACCCGGGAAGGTCTTGTCTATCTTCTCAGCTGAGCGCATGGCTACCCAAATGACACGAATCGGAGACGCTCGTGGTTGCAAAGTTTATATGTACTGTTCAGAAGACGTGTCGGTATCAATGATGACTTTATATTGGCATAAATCGGTGAGGAATCCCAGTTTAGCTGGCGTAAATACGCCTACTCAAACATAATACCATCTGTCACGTCATCTCCGGGAGGCAGTCGACATCATTAATTGGGACGATCTATTAGAGCAAGATTTGGCCAGCTCCTCGCACGAAGTATCTTTAGGACAGGAAGGTTTTGCCGATGGTCGCCGCAAACACCAATAGTATGTCTTGAAACCGTTCCGCTGAGCTCTTTATGATATTACTCATGGGTCTTTCCACTATCTTCTGCATGCGTTGATCTTACTTGCATCGTTGACGAACTTACTGACTTATTTGCATAGCTACTGACTGACAGAGTGGCGTAGAACCTTTCGAGTGACATTTACTGGCTCCGTCATGTATGACGAACATACGAAGCCACATGGCTGTAGGTAGATTATCGTAGTGGTGTTAAGACGTGACTCGAATAGTAGTTCATGTACATAAGGTGACGTACTTTCGCTGCCAACTTATCCGCTCGGCGTGTATTTTGATGTATCCATGCATATCCGGCAATGTATCGAGTTGGTGTGTGTCACGTGGCCTTGATAACCAACACCCATGCATTGGATGACTACTGCGTTATCGGAGTTTTGCATCGTGGTGCTAGCTTACTGCGCCTACGCTTCTTATGGATCAGTCTGTATGGCCAAGCGCGTCACTAACTGGGCATAGGTCATTTAGCGGTGTTACAGGCAAGATGACCGCGCGTGTGTAGGTAGTAGACAACGCGATATTACGAGCGCAGCGGGTATACCTTAGAACCTTATGGTCGTTCGCGACTTTACCGAGCTCTAATCTCGATCATTATGCGCAGGGCACTAAAGTACAGTACTGCGTACGGCCACTTCGACTTGCGACGTGCTTGGGTCTATATAGACAGCAACTTATTCGTCGCGCATAGTGCTCAATCAATACTGTAGTTTACATTCGTGAGCAGACGTGCTTGGGTCTATGTAGACAGCAACTTATTCGTCGCGCATAGTGCTCACTTAATAATGTAGTTTACATTCGTGAGCGCACATTAGTGAATATACGCTGTAAGCGCTGACGGTACGTATAGCGTGTTCTTGCCTTTGTATAAGTGAGCGAGTGTACGTGTGACACGATAGGGACGGCCAGTTTGTGGCGGCCAACAGTAGATATCATGTGTTAATTATTAAATGAAACGCGCTACGCTCTGTAGGTGCGTCAGCACTCTTTACAGCGCATAGGCAGCTTATAGTATGTGCAACCCCAAGCCTCACACTGTCCGCCAGCATTAAAAACACAACGATATGCGAAGTAAGGGGTTATAAGGATGTATTATCCAAATTAGCTGCTCTGCTGCTGCTTTTTTG